GTTATCGACATCTGGTGAAAATTTCATGTCATTAGCACCTCTAGTAATATATTTACTGAGAAAAATGGTGACGTGTTCAATACTTATTTTACCTGCTGTATATAATCCAAGCACTGAACCCTGAGGAACTCCATGACCAACTCTGGTGTAAGCAGAAGATTCATTATTAACATTAACAAACTGAAATCTATCAGTTAAATAAGACTCAAACCATTTTAGAGCTGTTCCTATAATCCCAATATCAAGTTCAAGTCTAAGTAATAAAAAATATTGTGATCAATTGTATCAAATGCAGCACAGAGATCTAACAGGACAAGAGTGGTCACAAGTCCACTGTCTGAGGCCATGAGAATATCATTAGTAACTTTCACCAGTGCTGTTTCTGTGCTATGATGAGCTCTAAACCCTGACTGAAACTCCTCATACAGATTATTTCTATCCAGATGTTCACATAGTTGATTTTCAACTATTTTCTCAAGAATTTTTGAGATGAATGTGTAGCATAACATGACAATTTACCTCCTGTGTGGAATCTGAACACCAGAACTTTTATTCCTTCCCCCAGCAGGAAGGATACCAACTGTTGCTTTTTGTTATCTCCACACTTCCTACCCTTGATGAACAAACCCAAACTGTGATTTTTCCTTAATTGAATTATGACACCTACCCTTTTGAACTTCCACCAATGACATTTTTCTCCACAGGGACATAAGAAATGCACGCTGTGATGCCCATTCAGATCACAACGCTTTGGCCAGACTTAATGTCTGCAGGACATTGTTGCATCTGTTGCCAGTGAAATCCCAGAAAAAAACCCAGATTACAATCAGCTTCCTAGCTGTAAGATGGTGAGATGAATAAGCAGGAGAAACTTCAAAGGAGCTTCAGAAGATTCATCCGTGGTTGAACAGCGACCCCTTTGAGCATTGCACGTAATTGCATCATGGACTGGTATTTTCTGTTAAAATTATATCTGGAATGTCCAAAAGAGAATGTATTTTTCTTTTTTTATATTTAATTAATAGTAATCATAACTACGTTATAAACCTGATCCACTCAGTTATTGATTTTCACTCAGCCTGAAATTTTCAGACCCTCTGATTAGAAATGTCATAGCCCCACCCACTGTGGAAATTTGAGCCAGTGGGAAGTTTCATTTTAAACAAGGAGTCTTTACTCCGGCCATTTTATTTGAGTCTAAAAAGTATCTGATAGGGGTGTCCCGATCCGATATCGATATCGGTCCGATATCAGCCAAAAAACGAGTATCGGATTTTATCGGACTGCATAAAAAATGTCCGATATCAGCGCTCCGATATTAGCAGTCCGTTCCGGCAGTTCACTGACTCCGCTCCAGTGTTTCTATCCAGCAGCGCTTGGATCCTGCTTGTAGCGCTCACGTGATCATAACAACAGCAGCGCTAACAAGTTAGCAAGAATGTCGGCAGCAGAACTTTCTATTTTCATCAGAAACAGAGTTGCAGCGAAGTGTAAAGTTGTCACGCACAAGTTTTCCGAGGGGGAACAGAACCGTGAACGTTTTAAACCGGAGCGAACACTACTCTCCACCCTGGCAGCAGCTTTGCGGTTCGGCTCAGTTCAGCCTCGGTCCAGTGACCGCACACAGCCGCGCTGTTTCGGAACCTCCTCTCTGGTCGGGTCGGTGATTCTAAGCGGGCAGAAGCGAGGACAGCACGCTTGTTTTGACATCCCGTGGATTAGCTCTTGATGGACAGAAGAAAGGAGAGCGCAGCTTTTGTTTTGGAATATGAGCGACATGACGAGAGCAGTGCTAAAAACTGCTCCCTGCAGCAGAGAGAGGCTGATCTCCACATGATGCTCAGACTATAGAAAGTGGAAATTTAGCACTAAGAAAGGTAGCTATCAATTTAAATAACTAATTCTTACTATTTATTTTTTGCTCTTGTTATTAGAGTGATGTTTAATCTGTTTACACACTTGTTTGAGTGAAGATTAAGTGCAATGATCACGTTGTTTTAGTTACAGTCAGTAAAATTGGAGCTGTGGACTCTTAACTTTGAACAGACAATAATGTGGGGTTTTGTTTTGTCCCCACCTTCAGTTTTTTCCACCATAAAGCAGCACAAGGCTGACAGATGGTAAAAAAAAAATAACTGGAGTGATTTTGAATTATTTTACACTGTAAAAGTACATTTTGTTTTTATTATGTTATTTTTTCAGGGTATTGTAATTTATTTTATTTATTAAATTGTAGAATGTTCTTCAGTKTAAAATGTATGTGATCCATTGGTTTAAAATAAATGGGTCAGTTTTTCTCATACCTACTCTTTTTCACTGTTTGATCTGATCAAGATTTTTTTTAAGATTTTACATTACAAAATAGGTAAAAGTGTGTGACTTGCACTGTTACAGTAACGGGTCAATATCGGTATCGGTCAATATCGGTATCGGACATTTCTCAAAGTTGTAATATCGGTATCGTATCGGAAGTGAAAAAATGGTATCGGGACATCCCTAGTATCTGAAGAAGGCAAGTCAGAGAGAGAGAGAGCATCTTAAGTCTTCCCCCCCAGGGGATATATTTTATTTTATTTTATTTTTTGTAGTTTCATTTTTTTTTTTACTTTGACGGAGCTTATCGGGAGAAAATTTGAGTTTGAGTTGAATTCAGGACACTGATTTTAATTCATAACTTCGAGAAACCAGGTCAGACAGCAGAAAGAACCAGCAGCTATGGCGTGCACTGAAAAATAAGTTTTTCTGCATATGCCACTCCGGGAGAACCAGATTACCTAAGGGACTTTGAGCCGTGCTGACCTCCGGCGATAGGTCCACCATACTGGGAGGTAAGCTGACCCTCTTGGCCGAGTGACCCGCTTCAAGTACCCACAGAAATCTGCCGACTTCCCCGGTAAGAACAGCTGGTTTTACTACTGTCTGAGTGGTGTGCTCTGTTATGGAATCTGATCGGTGTAGAATTTAATGCAGGCTATTTTTTTCTTTATAAACTCATCCCCTTTGACTAGAATAGATAATGTTTCCTTTATGTTTTGCTAGCTTAGAATGTACAGTATATATATATATCTGGTAGGGTTAGCTCATAAGTGGACCAGGTCATTTTGATGAAGTGACGTCACATTTATTATAATCAGTTGTCCGCAGATGATTGTAAACTTGTGCTCCGTTTATCTGTAATGTCCTGTGATTACCTCTGAATCATTTTTAATACAGGGTATATTGTGAAATTAATTGTTTTTTGTCTACGTTTTTATTGTTTCATACATCTTGCTGCTTAAACTGGAGAAAGACTCACGATCTTAGGTAGTATTGAGAACTGAATTAACATCTAATTTATGCTATTGAAGCCAAGTGGTTTTGCTGGCGTTTTTTTTCTAATAAACGCAGTGGTGTTCCCGAGGTAATAAACATTTAAATTAAAGAAGAATCTTTAATTTAGAGAGTCTTTTCCCCTACAAATGGGAGATTAGATATAGGTCTATAATTGGCCAGAACTCCTGACTCAAGATCAGGTTTCTTAAGTAAAGGTTTAATTACAGCAACTTTAAATCTCTTTGGCACATAACCATTCATTAGAGATAAATTAAGTACATCTAAAATATAGATATTAATTAAGGGAAATGCTTCTTTGAACAGTCAGGTTGGGATAGGATCTAGCATACATATTGATGACTCACTTGTGGGACCAGCTTGTGCCCATCCCACAAATGCAATTTTCTCACAAATGTGGCACCATTTATACTAAGTATCGGAGTATAGCAGTTGCTCCTCCACATCCAAGGAGTCAGCTGATTAGGATGCCCTCTGGAGGTCTTGATGAGACTGGAGACTTTTGAAGTGGGTCAAGAATTTTCACTGTATTGTATTGCATGTTGCTGGTTATTGAGAAGTGCATATAAAAGCATTTATTGTACTTGTGAAAAGTGATGTTATACTGTGTGAATAGCAAAATGTGCATATTATGTGAGCAACAATCATTTAATATTTTTATCTTGTTTTACAAAGGATATTCTGATTACATTATTTTTCTTGTAAGTTGTTGCATCTGTTGCCAGTGAAATCCCAGGAAAAAACCTTCACCCATTAAAATAATGATGGAATGTGTAGTTCCTTTTTGTGGAACTCACCTCCCTTTAAATCCTGACACATCATCGTAGCTGTCATACACTTCCAGGTAATCTGCCAGACATGATGTGTCATCTTCTACATCAAACTCCAGGAAGTGGAGGCGAATCCTCTGACCCACAGGCACTCGAATGTGCCAGTAGCAGATTTCCTCGTCCTGGTACTCATCAGGAAAACCTGGAGACTGAATGATCTTCTTTTGCTCAGTCAGAACACCGCCACACTCCTTAGCTGTTAGACACACAGGAAACAACGAACAAACATCAGTGGTGATTCTAGTTCAAGTTTTAGGGGTGCTCTAGCATAGTTTAATTGCATGAACGAATTCAACTCATGCAGTAGGAAATTATGAACTACTAAAGTATGCATGAACAAGAGTTGTCATACTAAATACAACTTCCTTTTTTAATTTTTTATTTATTGATTTTTAATAACAGTGTACATTGATACAGTTTGTAACTTATGAACATTGAACAGATAACATAAACAAAAATTATAAAAGAAAAACAGTGTGGTTATGGGTCTCTCTTCTTTATTTAGTCTTGGATTATTTCAGTTTTGCTAGATTCAAGTCCTTTTCTTTTGGTGTAGATCAGCCATTTTCTCCAGTGATGCTCAAATAGCCGGGCCTTGGATTTGGGATGGTAAGTCATTTTCTCCATGGAAAAGATTTCCTCTACTGTTGACAACCATTGTTTCAAACTTGGAGGATCCCTGTTCATCCACTTCTTGGTGATGGCCTTTTTAGCAGCTATCAACAAAATTCTGAGGAGATAGGTATCCTCACATTGTATTACATCGCTCTTAAATAATCCCAGGTATACAATACAGGGGTCGCTGGGAATCTTGTATCCTATAATTTCTTCCAATACCTGGGTGACTTGTCCCCAGTATGTTTGTATTTTTGTACATTGCCAAAAAAATATGAGAATGACTGGCATTTGCTTGGCCACATTGCCTCCAGCATTGGCGCTGTGTATGGAATAGTTTATTTTGTATTTGAGGTGTTGTGAAAAATCATGTCAGGTTTTTCCAACCAAATTTTCTCCATCCTCTGGAGCTTGTAGAAGACTGTTGAGTTCTGCACATGGAATACCAGTCATTCTTTGACAATTTCACATTTAATTCTGTTTCCCATTTTGTTTTTATATATAGTGAATTATTTCCATTTTGTTTTTGTAAACATTTGTATAGTTTAGAGACTATTTTTGTTGGTGTTTTTTTATAAGCCCCTATAAATAGCTTTATCAATTCGTTTCCTTCAAGTGATATTTCTTTCTTAATTTCAGTATTGTAAAAATGTCTCAACTGTAAATATCTGAAAAAATCCCCGTTGTCCAAATCAAATTCTCTTTTAATTTTTCCAAATGTTTTTAATGTCTTCACCTCTAAAAGAGTGCAAATAGCCATTATTCCCCTTCTTCTCCACTCCATAAATGTTGTATCTATATCACCAGGTTTGAATCTGTGTGAATGAGAGGGCCACACCAAGAGTTTACTATCTTCTTCTGATTTATAGTTTTTAAGAACTTTTGACCATATTTCAAGAGTTTCTTTTAATATGAGGTTTTCTGTCATTTTACTTTGTTTTTCTTTTTCCCCAAGCATGGCTTGTGGTTGACTTTTTGTCAAGTTCAACTCAATCTGTTTCCATTTGGCTGTGTATCCTAGGGAACACCAATAGGTGTATCTCAGTTGTGCGGCATAGAAATATTCTCTAAGATTTGGAAGAGCTAATCCACCTGAGTCTTTATCTATTTGAAGGGTTTTAAATTTTACTCTTGGTATTCTCCCTTCCCAGATAAATCTAGATATCTGTTTATCTCACACTGTGAATTGGGACTCTGGTATCTTGAATGGTATTGATAAAAATAGGTATAATAGTTTGGGTAATGTGTTCATCTTAACTATCTCAATTCTTGAGCTAAAATTTATTATCAATTTTGACCATCTCATGTAATCTTTTCGTATCTTATTATTGGTTATAGCATAATTTATTTCCTGGATTTTGCTCAAGTCTTGTACAACACCTAATTATCTGATTTGTTTCTTTTCCCAATTAAATGAGTATTTATGTCTAATTTCTTTACTTGGTATATAATTGAGAGGGAGCAATTGAGTTTTTGATATGTTTATCTTATAACCTGACAGTTTCCAAAGTTTTCTAGGTCTAACATCAGTTTTGGAATAGTTATGTTTGGGTTTTGGAGATACATAATTATGTCAACAGCAAAAAGTCCAATTATGTGTTCTTTGCCAGCTATGTTAATTACCTTAATTTTTTTGTCTTGCCTTATACATTGTGCTAGAGGCTCTATGAAGATTGCAAATAAAGAGGGGCTAAGGCAACAACCTTGACGTGTACCTCTAAATAATTTAAAACCCCGAGATGCCCATTAATTTTAATTCCAGCTGTGGGGTCTCTATACTATGATTCAATACATCTTATGAATTGTTTATTAAAGCCCATCCTCTCTAGAACTTTATATAGGAATGTCCATGATACCCTATCAAACACTTTTTCTGCATCAAGGCTGATCAGGGCTGCTGGCAGGTTTTGTTGGTTTATTTGGTGAATAATGTATAGAGTGCATCTACTATTGTCCTGTGTTCGTCTGCCTTTAATTAATCCTGTTTGGTCTTCATTTATTAGATCAGGTAAGAAGTGTTCAAGTCTAGCTGATATAATGGATGTAAATAATTTGTAATTTACATTCAAAATAGAAATTGGACGACATGATTCACAGAGTTTTATTTTTACCTTCTTTTTGTAAAAGAGAAATTACTGCTTCTTTCCGTGAGGGTGGAGTGACAGCATTTTGTAGAGTCCAATTGAATGATTCCAACATTATTGGGATGAGATCCTCTTTGAAATTCTTGTACCACTCACCGGGGAATCCATCTGATCCTGGGCATTTATTTGATTTCAGCTTACTGATTGTTATTTTTTATCTCATTTTCAGTGATGAGTGTGGTTAACTCTTCATTTTGCAATCTTCCCAATGAGGGAAGATCTAAAGCTTGTAAATACTTCTCTACATTTAATTCTTCATTTGTGTCTATTTGTGAGTATAAGGTTTTATAGTATTCTTTGAAGATACCATGAATTCCTTCTGGGTCGTTTGTTAACTTATTTTTAGATGGGTCCATAATCCCGGGTATTGATTGTTTAATTTGCTGAGATCTGACACGTTTTGCTAAGATTTTTGTTGCCTTTGAGCCAGATTCGTAAAAGGTTTGTTTTATTAGTCTCAGTTTTTTTCCTGCTCATCATTTAAAATATCTTCCAATTGTTTTTTGGTCTCTTTTATCTGATTTATTATTTCACGCCCTTAATTCTTTGGTTGTTGTTTTTCTAATTTTCTTAAGGTCTCAATTAGCTTTTTGTATTCAGCCTTCTTTTTCTTTTTCAAGTAAGCTGTTCTTGAGATTAGTTTTCCCCTCATTATTGCTTTAACAGTATCTCATAGTACGTTTGGATTCACTTGATCATTTTGATTATCACTTATACATTCCCTTATCTCTTTCTTAATTTCTTTTATAGTAGATTCATTGTTTAAAACACTGATGTTTAATCTCCACAGTGTCTTCTTTGGTTTGTTTTCCAGATTTATTTGCAAATAAATAATATCATGATCTGATATACAGTATCTGCTGTCCCTATTGAGCATTCCTTTACCGTGTATTTGTCTGATTTGTTCACCAAAAAGAAGTCTATTCTAGAATGAACTTGATGTGTAGCTGAGTAATGTGTATAGTCCTTCTCTGTCCGGTGTGAATCTCTCCAAACATCAAACATTCCAGTCTCTCTAATTAAAATGTTTAGGTCTTTTGATTTAGGAGAGTTCTGTCTCCTACTTGTTGTATCCATTGAAGAGTTTAGAACTGTGTTCCAATCCCCTGCACAAATCAGAATTCCTTCACTTTCTGATGCAATTTTATCAAATATTTCTCTAAAGAAACTCCTGTCGCTTTCCGGTGGTGCACAGATGTTTATTAAGGTGACCAAAGTATTTTCAATTCGACCTTTAATAAGAATATATCTTCCTTCTTTGTCTCTTTTTTTCTTTTGTTAATTCAAAGTTTAAAGAATTTGAAATCAGTATGGTGACCCCCCTTTTATGGCTGTTTTTATACGAACTAGAGAACACATTCAAGTAACCAAATTTTTTAAACTTACTATGTTCTTCTGTCGTCATGAGTCTCTTGTAGAAATATAATTTGGGTTTGATCTTTTTTCATTCTAGACAAAACTCTACTCCTCTTTACTGGGTTATTCATACCATTCACATTTAAAGATGCAATTCTTAAACTATATGTCCCCATTACTTACAAAACAGTTATCTGCGTAGATGTGGACCCCTTTAAACCACAAAGAAAAAAATATATAACAATGCAAACAAACCCATAAACTATTAAAGCAAATATTCTAACATGGTATAACACGAACAGACTGACCTCCAAGGATGGAGGAAGGTGTTTCCCCTCCTCAACAGTGACCCCGYTGGCAGGTCATGGGTACGGCCTCTCCTTGAGAGAGGGATCCCCGTAGAGAGTGGTTAAGGTGTTAAAATAACACACAAACACCATCCTAAAAGTCCATTGTAATTTGATTAGAAATCGAAATAGAAAAAACACTCTCCCCTATCTTTACGAATTATAGTAACCTTCTATCATATCAAGATAAAGTATCTGATAGATCCAAGTTCTAAACATTCTTACTGTGTCCCCTTTGATACTCCTGAAGTTTTCCTCTTGCTCTCTGAGCGGTGGTTAAGACAGTTCCTCTTCGATTCACCTGGTGCCATCCCTGTAGTTCCTGGAGCCAATTTCCAGGGTCTTTGTCGTCCTCTGTGAGCTCTGATTCATCCACGGGGAATCCTCGTGTTTTCATCTCCCTCAGCACTTCCCGTGTGTTGTTGTAGCTCCTCACTCCAGTGCTCCAGTGGACACGCATCTTGGTGAAAGGTGTTTGAAAGTGGATAATTTTGTCCTTTAGCATCTTCTTCATTCCTGCGTATTCTTTTCTTTTTTCAACTATCTCTGTCGGGTAGTCATGATCAAAGTACAGAGTTTTATCACCCAGCTGGATCTTTGTTGTTTTTTTCCAAGCTTCTCTCAGTACCATCTCTTTAGTAGTGAACTCTTGGAAGTTGATGATAATGGGTCTCGGTGGTGCCTCGGGTCGGGGTTTTGGTGCTAGAGATCTGTGGGCACGCTGTATTTTCAGG